ATCTTCATGTTCTTCTGGTATGGTATTTTGCCTCCGCCATGTAGGTACCATGATATTTTGATATTTGAATTTTTCTTCCTCCTAGTTCCACGCAGCATTTTCATGGAACTCGAAATCTCTACTGATAATTAGTTTACCAATATTGAGAATGTAAATTTTGTATCCTTTAGATTGAGAGGCATAGCCGAAGAATATGCCCTTCTCAGATTTCTCCTCCGGTTTGTGCCTCTTTTCTTTTGGGATGTGCACGTAGCAGATATTCCCAAAGACTCGTAGATGTTGGGCTGACGGTTTTTGTCCACTCCAAGCTTCTATTGGAGTTTTATTTTGGACAGCTTTAGCAGGACACCTGTTGAGTAGATAGACTGTAGTGTATACAGCTTCTGCTCATAATTCTTTTGGCATATTCTTCTCCGCAAGCATTGTCCTAACCATCTCTTGTACAGTTCTGTTTTTTCTTTCTGACACAACATTTTGCTTTGGAGCATAGCCGACAATTAGCTGATGGTTGACTCCTTCATCCTCACAGAATTTTTCGAACTCCTTGGATGTGTATTCTGTTCCTCGATCACTCCGAAGTACTTTAATTCTTTTTCCACTTTGATTTTCGACGAGGCTTTTGAAATTCTTGAAGATAGAGAAGACTTCGGACCTTTCTTTCATGAAGTACACCCAAGTCATTCTTGTATAATCATCAATAAAGAGGATGAAGTACCAGTTCTTCTCGAATGTGGCGTCCTCATTGGTCCACACACGTCTGTATGAATCACTCCATATTTTTTTGGCTCTTTCTGCTTGGCTTGAAGGAAATAGTTTTCTATGTTGTTTTCCCTCCATGCATTTTTCGCAGAGATTGTTGTTCAATTGGATGTTCGGTAGATTTTTCATCATATTTTTCTGATGGAGTAACTTTAGCCCGTTGAAGTTGAAGTGCCCGAACCTTCTATGCCATAGCCATGATTGATCTTCTTCGGCTTTTAGTGCTGCTTCTATGAATTTCTAATGGAGCGGAAGTTTATCCGTTGTTGCATTTTTACTACAGCTACGGGATTGTTTTTGTCATCATAAATGGTGCAAGAGTAGTCTTTAAAGAGTAGTGTGTATCCTCTTTCCACCATTTGTCCCACGCTGAGTAAATTAGTATCAAGTTTTGGTACTAGCAGCACATCTTCAACTAGACGAGTACCTTTTTGAGTCTCGACTTCTATTGAGCCTTTGCCTTCAACCTCTACTAGATCTCCATTTCCCAACTGAACTTGTGATTTTACAGATCTATCTATATTTTTAAATTTCTTCTCATCTCCGGTCATATGGTTGCTACAACCACTATCTAGGAACCAAATATAATTTTTCTCTTCTGAAGTTGCTTGATTTGCATAGAATAGCAAGTTTTCTCCTTTTTTATTTTCTTTAGAGAAATTTGCTTGATATCTTTTAGCGCGGCAATTTTTCTCACATGACCGAATTTACCACAATTTTTACATTGTGGTTTATCTCGGTACCGACAATCATTCTCAAGATGGTTGGTTTTCTTACAAACTCCACAAGGTGGATATTTTTCTTTTTGTTGATTATTATTATTTCAACCTTGATTTTTATTTTTATTATTTTCTCCAAATCTTCTCCCCCTAATTTTAGAATTCTTTAAATTTAATTTTGACTGAAATGCATTTTCGACTATGTCATTCTCACGCATACTCAGTCTTTTTTCATAGGCTTCTAGTGAACCTATTAATTCCGTTACTGACAAATGATCCAAATATTTAGTTTCTTCTGTCGTCGTGACGATAGGATCATATTTGGCTGGTAGAGTAATTAGAATTTTTTCTACCACCCTTTTGTCGGTAATATTTTATCCATATGATTTTAATTGATTTACTACTTCTCTTAATCGAGTGTAGTAATCGTTTACGGTCTCAGATTATTTCATCTTCATATTTCCCAAATCTCTTCTTAAAGTTTGTAATTTCAGATGACGTACCTTGTCACTGCCCTGGTATTCTTCCTTTAGAGTATCCCACGCCTCCTTTGATGTATGTTCTCCGCTAATTCTCGGAAACAGGGACTCTGAGATGGCCATTTGTAGTGTGAAAAGAGCCAAACTGTCTTTTTCTTTTTCCCGGTCGAATTTTCTTCATCCGACGTAGACAAAGTGGAAATGTCACCGGGTATAGTATACCCGTTCTCGACAATATTCCTTAGGCCTTGAGACATAAAATATGTTCTCATTTTAATGGCCCAATAATTATAATTTTCGCCGAAAAAAAAAGGAATTGCTATTTGATGGGTGTTATGGGAAGTGGCCATAATAAAGATTTAGAAGGATATGTGAAAAATGGGGTATTTAGACAAGATATGTAAAAATTGGAGGATATTGAAAATAATGTCGCCCAGCTATTGATCCAGCCAGGCTCTGCTACCATTGTTGGTATCAAAAATAATTTATAATTAAATTAGAGAAGAAATTATAATATGTAAAAAATAATATTGAAAAACAAATATTTATAAAATATGTAATGAGAAGCTTTTGAAGAACTAGTAGTATAGATGAATTAGTATCTTGAATTCTTGTTACATTTCAATTCACTCACGCATGGTACATATATATAGCATGTATGGATATTTCTAGAGTACAATAATTGTTCATTGCCAACTTATTACAACCAATGCTCAACTAATGAAAACTAATGCCAACTAATGACAACATAATTATTTCTAGAATGTGCATTAATAATTTAACAATATAGTCGTGCTCACAACATAGTGACGTTGGCATGAAAGATATTCAGCTCAGGGTGAGACAACAAGAGGGTCAACGTTGATGCTTTCAGGAAGCTCTTGTGTGGATGTATTCGAACTCTGGACAGGCGTCGATGTGAGTGTGTCATTCCCATCATCCTGGTCAGCATCATTACTGGACTAATCCTGATGGACATAATATATATAAAACAACTACACACTTTTTATTTTTTAATGGGCGATGAGAATTAACGACAAACGAAGAACGAAAAGAAAAACAAAAGGCACGATAGTCAACGAAATATGTGTTTGTATTCATATGCTTGCACGTTATTGTATTGTTGAATACTGATCATCTTTCCATCTTTTTAATAATGATCTTTCATGTACTTTTTTTCAATCCAAGTTACTTGGGCGACAACTCTTTCTATACCGAGCAGTGGGATCGACTCGAAGGAAGCTACATCTCTGTGATTAATGCAGATATGAAGAATATTGGCCTTGCTCACGACATAGTGACGTTGGCATGAAAGATAATCAGCTCAGAGTGAGACCAGCATGAGGGTCGCATTGATGCTTTCAGGAAGCTCTTGTGCGGATGTATTCAGACTCTGGACTGTCGCAGATGTGAGTGTGTCATTCCTATCAACCTGGTGAACATCATTAATAGACTAATCCAGATCGACCTAAAATATGTATAACTGTATTTTCTCGCTCTCTCTCTCTCTCTCTCTTTCTCTCTCTCTCTCTCTCTCTCTCTCTCTCTCTCTCCATTCAATTCGTATAGTTGCTAAACAAGTTCTATTTTTATGATTCTTCTCTGTTTTTTTACCTTTCTTACAGTTGTTAAACAAGTATTAGAAATGCAACCATATGATTTTTTGTATTACTCTAGAGTCCGTATGATAAACAGTAGCATGTTGAGTCTGAAAGCATATGTAACCATACGACTGTTGGGCTTTTTTGCTCCCGCATTGTAATTTATTTTTATTTTTTAGTAATAATATTTGTCGTTCAAAAAAAAACAATTCTAAAAACAATTAAACGCCTGTCTAGTGGGGGGGTCGGCTTTCTCGGGTTGAAGGACTCCTCTGTGGTCAATTTGGTGTCTGCTGGCTCATCTTGGATTTGCCTTTATGGAAGGGCTTGTGTGTGTGTGTCTGTTTTTTTTTTTTTTT